GGATTTTGAGGGGGGGGGGGGAAGAAATAGAGTGACTGTTTACTGGTTGGTTTTCTGGTTATTGTTATTTTGCCTAGTGGTCTAATGATTTTTCTGTTTTTATCATCTTTTAGGGTCCTCCTACTGTAAACATTGGAACATGTCAGTTCTTTGGGATCACAGAGTTTGTGCCTTCGTTTTCTGTGGACTTTTCTGCTGTTCCTCCTTGTTTTGAGTACCTGCATTCTGCGATGTTCTTAAAATCTATGTTTAGGTCATTTTTTCTTGTAAATAATCCAATAAATGTGGATAGTGATGTTGAGGATATCGAGTCAGATGATGATTTCCCAAAATACCAGAATAAACAGCAGATTTTAAGCATTACCTTGGACAGAGAACCTTCGGAGACTGGAACTGTTACATCTGATGTTATTGAAATCAATGATGGTTTATCCTTACATTCCTCTGTGAAGACTACCAGGGTATCTTCTCGGAATGGACAATATAGGAACATGTTGAACTCTAGAGGCATTCAGAAGAGGAGAAGTTCACTCAGGAAAAGGAAAGCTCGAAATCCTTCAACAGTGAGTTTACGCAGAAATGGAGCAATAGCTTCTGATTTAACAGGTGGAAGGAAAAGCAATAGCCAGTTGTCTGGTGTGACCTCTAGCAAGAAACTTGGGAGTATGGATAATGGTAGCACAACTGGGAGCAGGAAAGAGACAAGTTCTTCCTTAGTAAATTATAAAGAAAAAGATTCGTCTTCTTGTTATGTAAACTTATTGGTTTCAGAGATAGACCGATGCTACAGGGTAGAGGGAGCAATTGTTACTTTAGAGATGTCTGCTCCAAGAGAATGGTTTCTGATTGTAAAGAAAGATGGATTAACAAGATGCACATTCAAAGCAGAAAAAGTTATGCGTCCCAGCACGTCCAATCGATTCAACCATGCGACAGTGTATTCATTAGACAATGGGTGGAAGTTGGAGTTTGCCAATCGCCAAGACTGGAATGTCTTTAAAGACCTTTATAAGAAGTGTTCTGATCATAATATACCTGTTACTGCTGCCAAATTTATCCCAGTTCCAGGTGTGCGGGTGGTCCCTTCCTATGCAGAAAGTAATAATTTTTCCTTTCACAGACCAGAAACATACATATCTGCCATTGGTGATGAGTTAACTAGAGCAATGACAAGGACAACTGCAAATTATGACATGGATTCTGAAGACGAGGAATGGCTGAAAAAGTACAATAATGAGTTTCCAGAACATGTGTCAGAGGATAATTTTGAGTTAATTATTGATGCTTTGGAGAAGGTTTATTATTGTAACCCAGATGATTTGTTTGATGAAAAATCTGCGGCCAATGGTTGTCAGCATCTTGGTAGCAAGGAAGCCGTTGAAGCTGTATATAACTATTGGATGAGAAAAAGAAAGCAAAAACGATCTGTGCTGCTAAGGGTTTTCCAGGTAAAATTTCTATCAAGATTTAGATATTGTTATGGGTCTGGGAGAAGTATGTTAAGTATAGATTGCAAGGGAGTGTGTTAATTCTAGACTGCCAGTTCTGTAGCGTTTCATTTAATATCGTCATCTATGCACTGTAGAATGTTTCCTTGTTAAATAAGAAGTTATGTGATTTACGTCTGTGAACTTATTTATTTAGTATATGTTAATTCCATATGGCTAGTTTGTCTCTAGATAGTTGCTGTTTATGCACGATACATTGGGTCAACTGTGACGAAAGCAGGGTTTTCCCTAATGTAATAGATATTGTTGTGTCGGAATGTTGATGTCTTTGCTTATTCCATTTGCGTTGATCACATTATATGGCTTTTAACCTAGTCTTCTTTTTTCTCCCACTGTTAGTTATGTATTTTGGTTGGGCATAATTTATCATTCGGGGGGAAGGGTCATTGTTTTAAACCCCAGTAGTACATTATTTCATATCTAATATCTATTTGGTTGACATTGTTAAGTTAATTGTGTCAGGGTCATCCATCAAAGAGAGCTCCACTTATTCCCAAGCCCTTGCTGCGAAAAAGGAGGTCATTTAAGAGACAACCAAGTCAGTTTGGTAGAGGCAATCAGCCAAGTATGTTGAAAGGTAATTTTATGACCCATGTCTTCATTGAAATGGAATGTGGATTTCTTCTATTAAATGTTGTGAATTTTGAATACATTGATCTTCAACAGTGTTGAAATTTGGATCTGTTGTAAGGCTGGTGTTAGTTTTGGTTGGGATATTGTTGGTGATGGTGGAATCATGGGTTTTGCATTTAGCTTTTGTTAAATTGACGTTGGACTTTATTTGATAAGCTTCTAAATTGCAGGTGTCTACTTGATGAATATTGTAAATGTTTGTCTGATATTCTATTCATTTTCAGCTTTTGCAGCTGAACAAGATGCCATGGAAGAAAATGCAATGCTTAGGATTGAGGAAGCCAAGGCCAATGCAAACATGTCCATGGAATTAGCCATAGAAAAACGCAAAAGGGCTCAATCTCTTGCTCAGAATGCAGATTTGGCCACCTACAAGGCCACAATGTTAATTAGAATAGCTGAAGCAGCTCTGGCTGCAGAATCAGTAGATAACGCGGCAGCATATTTTCTTGATTGAGATGGTTAGATCAATTCCGATGCTAATGATCACCACAAATTTTATTACAGGATGGGTCATAGTAGATTTGCTGCTGTGCTTTTATTGTAAACACTGTACAGATTTTTTTGGTTGTATGTATAATAACTTGGATTTAAATGAAGACCTCACAGCAATCTTTTGTACGAGTAGATTGGTCAATCTCCTTGGAAGAAAGAAAACTGAAAAATGGAAATGAAAAAAGAAATACAGGATTTGTAAGTCTCATGATGCCTATGCCTCTTTTATTATATTATTGTTATTTTTTATATTATTTTGGGGGTCAGAAGGTAAATAGCACAAGAAAGGAGGCCCAACCAAAAGGCCCACAAAGTTAATGAAGAAGCCTGTGTGCTTTAGAATTATTGCCTTTCTAGGTGCTACTGGACAAATACTCCCCTCCCCCTTTGCATTAATCGACTAGTACTTCTGATTCAAAGCTGGAAAAAATGTTACATTTCCTTGGGAAACATTTGAATGGCTTCTGTAATGTATGTTTATGATCTATTTGGATTGATGGTAGAAAGAAAGTGGAGCGAAAGGGATAGAGTGGATGAAAATAAAGATTCTGTTTGGTCTATAAAGGTGAGGAATGGGAGAGGTGATGGGAAAAAAAGATGGGATGGGATCTGTTCGATCTCATTCCATTATTGAATCCTGTTTACATTCACTCTTCCCAGATTTAGAGAGGACATTGCATTATTGTTTCCTGTCTACTACTACCCCTCTCCAAATTTGGAGTGTATCCCATGGAGCCAAATTTCTAAAATGAAATGTCTAATTTGACCTTGTTAAATTTGTCCTATAACTATTGGTGCCACTTGCATATTTTTCTTATTTCACGCTTTCTTCATGTATAGCATCACTATTGGTGCCTTGCGTACTTGTTCTTTTTTGTTTTTTTTAAGGCTGCTTCTCCTGTCTAAGGTCCAACTCAAAAGTCATTCATGAGAATAATGGCTAATATAATTTTTAGTTACTTTGGCCAAAGGATCTTAAGGGGTTTCTTAATGCAACAAATGGCAGTATGCAGTGCTGCCATGTGTTCATCAAATGGACCGGCTAATAATCCCTATAGTTGGTAAAGTATACTAATCGTTAATTGAGAAACGGAGGTTCATGATAACTTCTGTCTAAGCAAGCCATCTTAGTGATAGTATTGGAAATTTAACTATAGAAGGAACCATGATATATGTAGTTTTCAAATGTTTCCAAAACAACGGAAGGATGGAAATTAAAATGTTACATCCTATTTTATACGAGTTTTTTTTCTTTCTAATAATAGAATGATTTTTATTTTCATTCCATTATAAAACATTCATACAATTGAATGATGGTTTCAATTCGGCCTTTTTAAAAAAAAATTAAATTATAATAAATTGTGTGTGTGAATAGGGATGACAACTATACCCGTACCCGCGGTAATACCCGAACCCGTCCCAATTTTGACGGGGAATACCCGGTTTGACCGGGTACAGGTACGGGTACGGGTAAAACCTGATATATTAAATCGGGTACGGGTACGGGTATGTACTTACCTGCCCAGCCCATACCCGTACCTGTACGCGTCTCCGTTCCCATTTTTAATTTAATACCCACTTTCAATTTAATTATATTAAAAAATATTAATATTTTTTTATGTGTGATTATTTATTATAGTATGAGATAGATAAATAATTTAATTATAATTATAATATAATAAAAAAATAATTTAAAAATATCATTTTTTTAAAAATAAAAATAAAAAATAAAAAAATTAACGGGTACGGGTACGGGTATACCCGATACCCGACGGGAACGGAGATGGGGATGAAAATCTCATACCCGACGGGTACTGGGACGGGGACGGGTTTGAGTTTGACTTGCGGGGACGGGGACGGGTATCATAAACCCCGTACCCGCCCCGCCCCGTTGCCATCCCTATGTGTGAACATGACTTTTAAAATGGAAACAGTGTTTCACAAACATAATTTTTAATTTTTTAAAAATACCGCAAAAACAGAAGTTGTGTTCTCACACTCCACTTTATTTAATCATCAATTTTTTTTAAAATTTCATTTTAATGTAAAGAAAAGAACAAAAAATAAATCATATTCTAACATCTCGATTTTGCTATTATTTTAAATAAAATATTAGTTGCATAATCACTCATCATTTTTGTTTTATATATAAAAAAGTAAATATTATGTTTGTGAAACTTGATTTAAGGCGTGTTTGAAAACTCATTTGAATGGTGTGGAATGAAAGTTTTACACATAAACAATGGAGAAGTAATGAGAGTGTTGAATTGGATTGAATATCAGTCTATTTGAAAATTAAATACACTAACTCATTTTAGGAATTTTTAAAATTTACCTTTGTACTTGTCAAAAGATACAATGATAGATCTTTGATGTTTAGGACTTTTGGTCTCCATCGTCAATGAATCCAAAGAGTGAAATATCTGCAAAAGACATTTTGACACTTAAGTTAAGGTTTGACACAAGAATCTAGGTGGGCAATAGATTAATCTCTTAACGTCATTTATTTCCTTTGCTAGTTATGTAATCCACATTATGAGGGTTCCAAGACATGACTACTTTGATCTTCTCGACTACTTTGGTTGTCAAGAGTGTCGAGACCATCACAAATAGGGAAAATATGAATATAGATCATTATCTTCGATCATCTTAGCTACTTTGATTGTCGAGAATATCGAGAATATCACAAATAAAGCAAACATGTATATAGCCCAATTACTTCGATTATCTCGGGAACTAAGAATACCAAGTTCGAGGCATATACATGACATGTCGAATAAAAAATGTCTTAGTTATCTTGGCTAAGAATAATGAGGGATTCTTTTAGGTAATGTTATTTGATCATCTCACTGGCCAAAGTGGCTGAGGCAACTAAAGTATGCTCCCAATAACCCTTTTTTGGCACATAAGCCCCTAACTTTGAGGAAGAAAGCAACAAAAAGATGGAAGAAGTTAAGTTCTTTAAGGAGTAGGATTGAGGTGGCAATTTTTTCCTTTGGAAGTGTAAAAAATGTGACTAATTATTTCAAAGCGTTACTTTAGGGAGTCAAAGGGTTGTACCTTCTAAGCCAATTAGATCTTAACAATCTAACAGTTGTGAGGTGGTGTGTCATTTAGGGTTCTTGAATTGAGATACTATAAATAGGGGGTGAGTGAGTCTCTTACATCCCACCAACACTCTCGCTTTTCTCCGAACAACCGATACTTGAATCAATCAAGACTCTCAACAAGTATGTAATTGTAGTACATTTCCCAAACTGCCAAAGAGGGTTCTTAGATGGAAGTAGTTCAAGTTCGTTCCTCATCCAAAAGGTTGAAAGGTTCACTATCTTAGACCAATATGAATTTAATGTCAATGCCATCTATTTCTAGTGAGTCTGCCTCGACATTGAACACATTGATAAGCATTGAGGTAGCCTATAAGACTAAGCGTGAGGGGAGTCATTCGACGAAATCTTTCATCATTCTTTCTGATAGTCATCCTCGAAGGACCTCTTGGATGACCATGAGTTGTAGATATCCTCTGATATCCATTCTTGAGTATGAGTAGGTTGATAGAGATGATGCCAACATCTATTCTCGCTATAATAAAAGGGACTCGTTAGAAAACCTAGTTACAACTGAGAAGTATATAAATTTTAGGGTTGATAAAGATCCATTCCCATTTATTCTTCACCTTTGTCGTAATGATGATGGCTAGAACCTAGATTTCATTTTCCTAGGTCAAGGTAATTGTAAATATGAGTATTTCTATGTGTCTAACTATCTTTTATGAGATTTGGGGGGTGACATTGTCATTTGATGAATTTTTCATGGGCATGCTTCGTGTCCTCGACGTCGTACCGACCCAATTGCATCCGAATATATTGGTTGTGATGCAAAAATTTCAACATCTTTGTTTGTGTTGAACATGAAGCTAATAGTCCCCTTGTTCCACTACTTTTATTATTCGTGTTCCCCCAAAGAATCCAAGTGGAAATCAATTTTTTATAAGATTGAACGATATTTTTTAGAGTCATATATGTTGTCGTATAAGAACTTCAAGATAAGGTTTTTTTAAAAGTAATGATTTGTCTAAGCACAAGAAATAAGTATTTCTTCGACACGAATAACAAAGCCTTGTTCCCTTTTTATTGGACATGTATTCCTCGGAAATACAATGAATACCCTGACTTCATACCTTTCGACCAAGGAACGAATGAACTTGACTTTGCTAAACAATCTTACACTCTAGCTCTCACGTAACATTTTCTTCATCACTTCCTTCCCAAACAACCTTGACTAAAGGAATTTTCTTACCTCTCAATTGTTTCACCTTTTTATCCTCGATCCTCAAAGGAACAGTTTCATAATGAGGCTTCCCTTCAATTGAATCTTGTCATACTCAACAATAAGGGACAGGCGTCATGAATGTATTTTCATTGTTGGGAAACATGAAATACACCATGCAAATTAAAAAAAGGTGGAGGCAAAACAATTTGGTAAGAAACATTACCAATCTTCTTAAAGATTTAGTAGGGACCAATGAATCATTGAGTAAACTTGCGAGATTTAAGTGTTTTACCAATTCCAAACCAAGGAGTTACCTTTAGGAATACATGATCTCCTTCTTTAAACTCAAAGTCTTTCCTTCTCCTATCATGGTAACTCTTTTGCCTACCCTGGGATGCTCTCATTCTATCCTGGACTAGTCTCACCTTTTCAGTGGTTTGTTGAACTACCTCAGGCTATAACATGTAACTTTCTTTAGGTTTTACCCAACATAAGGGTTTTCTACATCTCCTACCATAAAGTGCTTCATAGGGTGTGTGGAAGAACATATGCACAAAGTTTTGATGATGCCAAAGCATTGAAGAAAATAAAGGTCAAGTTAAAGCAAGTTGATCAAGAAACAAGATCTCAAGAAATAACTAGATAAGTCTTACTACTTAGCTTGATATGTAAAATAAACTTTTAGAAATTGCAAATTTTACTTGGCCATTAAAACTACAAATTCAAGAAAACCTCAAGTAATCTTTTTGAATATAAGAGTAAGTTTTTATGTTTTTGAAAAGAAAGTAAAAAAAGTGTTCAAAAAGATTTTACAAAAATATTTTTGACTGAAAACTAGAAGTCTCCTGTAATCAAAAGTTTGTGTAACAAACATAGTAATCTTTGTCTGGTAATCGATTACCAGCTTAAGTAATCGATTACCAGAGCAAGGAAACT